TTTCCAGCTAAGGTTTTGTGTCTGCTTAGGGATAGCTTTGATTCACCCAGCTCATTGATTGAAATGGCATCTCACTAACATTTCTCTTGGGCAGCTCATGATTCTCCAGATCTCTTCCTCCCGAGTAGCTGGAATTATAGGCATAATCCATTGTGCTTGGCTCACAGGCTTGTTTTCTTGAGATAATAGGATATTGCTATCTTTTTGTTGGGTCTGGTCTAGAACTGTGATCCTTCTGTCCATGCCTCTTGTATAGCTGGTATTGACCTCCATGCTTTACCCCTTATATGCTGTTTTCTAGGTGACAGAAGGGAAGTATGTCTTCACTACAGCCTCATATTAAACAGCTTCTCAGTCATACCACCTGTTCTGTGGGATTTCCTCTCTTTCTTGGAGCCATTTTTCTGAGCTCCTCTTTGGCCTTGATGAACTAGGCTTCATCCTGGGACTTCTTCATAGCAGTCCTGGGTTTGAATCCTGTATCCTGCACCCTATGTTGTTGTGGTCATGGTTTTTCTCACTTCTTTTGTGATCTCAGGATTTGTGTGAGAAGTAACCCTTCTGAGTTATTTTATGAGGAAAAAAAGTTCCCCATCTCCTTTAACCCTTCTTCTGAGTTTCCTAGGTCCTATTATTTTCTCTTATTCATGCTACTGGTTTTGCAGTAGTTTTAAGACTGTAGTACTGGATGGTGATTGAAGTCATTGGTATGAAGTGCTTTCTCCAAAATTTTCCCCGATACATTCTTTGTGTGTGTGTGTGTTGGTCGTGGGGTTTGAACTCTGGGCCTGGGTGCTGTCCCTCAGCTCTTCAGCTCAAGGCGAGCACTCTACCGCTTGAGACACAGCACTACTTCCTGTTTTCTGAGTGGTATATTAGAGATAAGATTCTCATGAACTTGCTTGCCTGGGCTGGCTTTGAACCTTGATTCTCTGATCTCCAGCCTCCTGAGTAGCTAGGATTACAGGCGAGAGCCACCGATGTCCGGCCTCCCCAATAAGATCTATCAAATCTCTGTTTACTGATGTGGGACTTGCACAAGTCACTGTGAATGTAGCATGACATCATCTTGTTTTAGTAAATGATGGTGCATTTTGAGGTAGAAATAAAATGTCCACAAATCTTTGTGATTATTTCATTCCTGAAAGAATTCAAATATTAGTAAAATGGTACTTGGAAAGTAAAGAGGGAATAATGAAGAATAGATTGTAAATTTCTAAATAGTATTTATTTAGCTTTTTATATTCTAGTTTTGGTGATGAGGAAGGTGGAAGGCTTTTATAAATAGAACATAGATCCTGCCTTCAAGGAGCTAATTAGTGAGACTTAACCTTTCATTCCTCTTCAGTTGTTTTTTCTTTCTTCAATTTTGGGGACATTAGAGCATTTAAAGGATACAGAGGCTGTTGCCTCATTTCTAGATGCCAGCTCACATGCCTGATACTTTGTCTTCATCTGAATTGTTAAAATATACCTTCCCCTCTGGGGCTGGGAATGTGGTTTAGTGGTAGAGTGCTTGCCTTGCATGCATGAAGTCCTGGGTTCAATTCCTCAGTGCCACATAAACAGAAAAAGCCAGAAGTGGTGTTGTGGCTCAAGTGCTAGCCTTGAGCAAAAGAAGCTCAGGGACAGTGCCCAAGCCCAGAGTTCAAGCCCCAGACTGGCAAAAAGTATCCTTCCCCTCAAGGATACTTAGGTAATAACTCTAGAGGAGTTGTTGGTACCATGGGATTATGCTAATAAGCACATTGAATCATCTGAAATGCAAATACCTTTTGTCTTTATTCATACTGCATTACAAATCAACCTAATTACAAATAAAATTTTGTCTATATCTGGAACTTTGGTGAAGGGACAGGGTTACAAAAATCTATTTTTTACTACTCAGTGTATATATATATGTATATATATATATGTATATATATACATATATATTTGCAGAAACAAGTCATGTAGTGTTGACAAAACCCATATTAGATGAAAAATCTGAGGCCCTAAGGTATTAAGCAATTTAATGCTAGAATTGGAATCCTAGAACCAAGCCTTACCAGGATTCCCAGCTCTGTGGTGTTAACATTTTTTTTTCTTTTTTGTTGGTTGTGGGGCCTGAACTCTGGGCCTGGGTGCTGTCCCTCAGCTCTTCAGCTCAAGGCTAGTGTTCTACCACTTGAACCACAGCACCACTTCTGGATTTTTTTTTCCCCCTGCTTATATGGTGCTGAGGAATCGAACCCAGGGCCTCATGCATGCAAGGCAAGCACTGAACCACTGAGTCACCTTCCTAGCCTGGTGTTAACATTTTAAAGTACTATAAAGAGTCAGGCTCTAGTTGCTCATGTAGCTACTAAGATCTTTTTTTTTTTTTTAATTTTATTTTTGTATCTTTTTATTTTTTATTTTTTGGTCCGGTCGTGAAGCCTGAACTCTGGGCCTGGGTGCTGTCCCTCAGCTCTTCAGCTCAAGGCTAGTGCTCTACTACTTGAGCCACAGTGCCACTTCCAGTTTTTTTCTTTTTTGCTTATGTGGTGCTGAGGAATCGAACCCAGGGACGCATGCATGCAAGGCAAGCGCTCTACCACTGAGCCACCTTTCCAGCCCAGCTACTAAGATCTTGAGTGTGAATCACAGTTCAAAGCCAGCCCAGGGACCAAAGTCTAGCAGACTCTTTATCTTCAATTAACTACAACAAGAAAGCAGGAAGTAGAGCTGTGGCTCAACTGGTAAAGTGCTAGCTATCCCTCAGTAACAAAGCTCAGGGAAAGCATTCAGGCCCTGACTTCAAGCCCCAGGACTAGCATGCATGCACATGTGTGCATGTGCTGTGTGCGGGCACACACACACACACAAAGTGTTGTAGAGATATCTCAAGAATAGGATGAACAGACAAATATATGCTAGTGTAAGGGTAATCAGGTTATAAGAGAGCGTATTTGGTTAACAAATATTTGTCCAGTGCTTACTAATATCAGCCACTTATTAGGTATTCAGTAAATGTTTGCCAACCTTAGGTGTTTTCTTTGAACAATATAGTATGCTCAGTGCCATGAAGGGATACAGGTATGTCAAAGATTGATCTCTTTCAAAGAAGTTTTCAGGCTAATTGGTAATTTAAGGTAACTAGAAGATTGCCTAACAAATGTCAAGGTAATAATAGTATGATCAGGGAAGAGTTGATTGAGCAAGGCCTCAAAGGAATTAAGCTAAACATATAAAGTTATTTTTTAGTTTTCCATTAAGAATCACACTCATGGGTGGGAGTTGTGGCTCAAGTAGTGCCTGCTTAGTAAGCTCAATGTTCTCTAAATTCAAAGCCCTCAACCACCCCAACCTCCCACTCCCCCCAAAAAAGAAAATAAAAACCAAGAATCACACTCATATTCCTTTAGTATACCTACCTGGAAACTGGAGTTCTATTTGTTCTTGTCTGTGACTGAGTTCTGGCGAGGCCTGTGTTAGAAGAGTTGTCTATATCTCCTGTTAATTTACTTGTAAAGCTTGTGTTCAGTCCTAGCTGCCCTGTATGGATTAGGCTGAATCAATTATGGTTTAATTCAGTAAATATTATTGAACATGTAGTATGTCCCATTGTGCTGGGACAGAAATCAGAATACTATATAGCCTAATAGGAGACAGAGTTGTAGCGTATTGAGACAGATAGATATGTATGCTTTTTGATAGATACAAAATGATTGTCATACACTTTCCATGGCCATCTCCATGTATTAATAATTTTGTTTTGCACACAGTGATTTTTTTGTTGTTGTTGTTGTTGGTCGTGGGGTTGAACTCTGGGGCCTGGGTGCTGTGTCTCAAGCTCTTTAGCTCAAGGCGAGTGCTATATCACTTGAGCCACAGTGCCACTATCAGTTTTCTGGTGGTTAATTGGAAATAAGAGTCTCATGGACTTTCCTACCTGGGCTAGCTTTGAACTGTGATCCTCAGTGATCCTCAGATCTCATCCTCCTAAGTAGCTAGGATTACAGGTGTGAGCCACTGGTGCCTGGCCCACAGTGATTTTATAAACACCTAAATGGTCCTTGGCAGAAAAAGATTCCCTACTCCTTGGAACATGCTAAGTGAGGTAAGGTTATTGTTAAATCATACGGTGGGATGGTGGTGTATAGAGGTAGCTAAGAGTGTAACAGGTCTTAATGCTGTTTGGGTAAGGTCAAGAAAAGGTTTCTGGAAATGATGACAGCTGGATTTTAAGGAAAAAATAGGAACTTTTGAAATGTATGAATGGAAAGCCATTCAACAAGAGAAAATACCCACACCTGAAATAGTTTGGTATGATAAGACGTTTTGAACAGGATTACTGGAATATAAACTAAGGTCCTACGGGAGGGTTGTAGGAAACAGTTTTGGTATTTCATCTGGCCTGGCCATTAATTCAGAATTTTAGTTAACTAGTTCAAATGCAAGGTAATTAAATAGATTGATTACCTTCTCTCTGAACACTGTGGGAAAAGATCACTGAAGTTGGAGATGAGTTGACTTTTGGAGGAAGCTTGGACTTACAAGGTAACTTTTAGAAATGTGATAGCAGTAAATGATTGGGAATGTGTCACCTGGCATGGAGTGTCTCTAGTGAGTATTTTGAAGCAATTGTACAACAGGGAAGGCTGTGCAGTAGCAGCATTTCTGACATGATGCTGTCAGCTGATTCTCAGAAGACCAGTTGGCTATAAAGCAACTGCTGGAACTCTGTGCAGGATGTGTCTGTGGGCTGGGTTAACCAGAACCTGGGCTGTAACCAAAAGTGCCTCACTGGCTTTGTACCTGAAGCCTTTGTATTGTCTCCTGTCATGATCTCATGTAGTATTGGTTGTCACTGAGGGGGCAATGGATGTGTGTAATTTCTGTGAAAATGTTAACTACTTCTAGGACTATGCATATATAACTTAATTCAGAATTCTGCAGATTCAATATTGTCCCAGATCTTAGATTTCGATGTTTTTTTTTTGTTTTATTTATAATAGTTTATTTTAAATACTTCATAGGCTTTCTTGATCATGGATGGTGAAGATATACCAGATTTTTCAAGTTTAAAAGAAGAGACTGCTTATTGGAAGGAACTGTCCTTGAAGTATAAACAAAGGTAATATTAAAGCATACTAAAAATAGAGGAGGACATTTGGAATATATAATGTCTTGGGAAATATTTTTTTGTGTGTTTCTTTGTTTTTTGTTGGTCGTGGGGCTTGAACTCTAGGCCTGAGCTCTGTCCCTCAGCTCTTCAGTTCAAAGCTAGCACTCTACCACTTGAACTATGGTACCACTTCTAGTTTTCTGGTGGTTTATTGGAGATAAGAGTTTCACAGACTTTCCTGCCCAGGCTGGCTTTGAACCACAATCCTCACATCTCAGCCTCCTGAGTAGCTAGGATTACAGGCGTGAGCCACCGACACCCGGTGGGAAATGTTTTTAAAAGCGTAAAGCTAAACTTAGAATTTCAGATTTAGGATTGTGATTTCAGAAATAGTCATAATATTTAGATATTATAAAATGCAGTAAGTCTTTATACTTGTTCAGATTATTAAAATAGTAGGAAACCTTAGTGTCATTTATGATTTCTTTTGATAGTTTGCTTCCTCTTAGGTTTGTCACCCTATCTTTGGTCTTTGTATATGTACTGGTTCTGCCTCATTATTTGCTCATTTGGAGATCTTATAATAGACTTTAGTTCTCTCTGGGCATGCATTATTAGTGTCTAGAGCCAGCCAAATTCTGAGGGAGTGGTATGAAATTCATAGAATATTTTATAAAAGTTTAATTTTATTTTGTTGGGAAATCTTGTTTTTTTTTTGGGGGGGGGGTCCGGTCATGGGGTCTGAACTCTGGGCCTGGGCACTGTCCCTCAGCTCTTCAGCTCAAGGCTAGCGCTCTACCACTTGAGTCACAGTGCTACTTCCGGCTTTTTTCTTTTTGCTTATGTGGTGCTGGGGAATTGAACCCAGAGCCTCATGCATGCAAGGCAAGCACTCTACCACTGAGCCACCTTTCCAGCCCCTTTGTTGGGAAATCTTATGAATAATAGCTTTTCAGTCCCAAACCTGTTTTATTTATTGATTTTTTTTCTTTGGGTTTTAAATTTTTTTGTCTTTTTCTTTTTTGGCACTGAGGACTGAACCCAGGATGTTTCACTTGCCAGTCAAGCACTTTGCTCCTGAGCTGCATTCCAGTCTCCAAACTTGTTTTAAATTCCTTTCTTGCTGGGTACAGACAGGTCACACATGTAATCCAACTACTTGGGAGGCTGAGAATGGGAGGATTATAGTTCAAGGCCAGCCTGGGTAGTAAAGTTTATGAGATCCCATGTTGTAAGTGAGGTGCAGGAAGTGATGTGTACTTGTTATCTCCTAGCTCTGGTGGGAATCCTAAAATAGGTGAGTTGAAGTGGGCAGGAAGATAAAATCTATTTCAAATGAGTACAAAAAAAGGGCTTGGGAATGTGGGTTAAGCCCTAAGAGTGCTTTCTTGGTCAGCATAAAGTCTTGTGTTCAAACTAGTACTGCACATACATAAAAAAATTCCTTTCTTAAAAACAGACACTTTTCTAGAATGGAGACATAGCTCAAGCAGTATATCACCCACCTAGCAAGTGCCAGACTTGAGTTTAAACTCCTGTATTGCCCAAAAAACAATAATGAAGGAATCTTTCTGAAATACTTACACATTTTCCCACTTTGGTGAGCAGAGTTAGCCTTATCAGACTTCATTGCTCTTTCATTGTTGTCACTGAAGCCAGGTATTCCATTGTGCAAGTGAATGTAGATGTTGTGCCTGGTGGGGGAATCTTCACCTTTTCTTTCTTTTTTTTTGCCAGTAATGGGGACTGAACTCTGGGTCTGGGCGCTGTCCCTCAGGTTTTCAGCTCAAGGCTAGCGCTCTACCACTGGAGCCACAGCGCCACTTCCGGCTTTTTCTGTTTATGTGGTGCTGAGGAATCGAACCCAGGGCCTCATGCTTGCAAGGCATGCACTCTACCGCTGAGCTACCTTCCCAGCCCTCTTCACCTTTTCTTGTACTGCAGCCTTCACAGACTGTGAAGGCCTGCAGACTTCTTTGAAGGGTGTGTTTGAATGCATTAAATTAAGTAATAGAAACCAATTGCATATATCAGAAGTAATTATCTAAATGTTAAACTAATTTATGATATTATAATGTATCAGTGAATTAGATAAAAATGATCTGAGGGAGGGAGTGTAGTAACTATCTCATTTTGAATTAGTGATGAGAATAAATGAAAATTAAAGAGGTGCATCAACTATTGTGATGTGAGAGTCTCTGTGATTTCTATTGAACAGAATTGAAGGTAATGCCTGATTTAAGTTACCTTAGTGAAAATAAAGATGCATTTCATCCTACTTAAGTTGTGTGCCTGAATATGCTAATGTTATTGAACTATGTAGATGAATTTTCTTAAGTATCGTAATCACTGGTTTGAGTCTCTTGGAGACATATAATTAATTTTCACTGAGTCTTGAATATACAGTGTAAATTCAAGATAGTGACTTTAGTGTTTAACATATTTTGTGAGCATACTAGATTATAGGCAAACCTTACTGACTTGCTATGTAATGTTCTTGAAGGTAATCTTGCTGTTCCAACTATTACTCACCTTCCTACTTTGTTTCTGATTAGCTTCCAGGAAGCTCGGGATGAGCTAGTTGAATTCCAGGAAGGAAGCAGAGAATTAGAAGCAGAGTTGGAGGCACAATTAGTTCAGGCTGAACAAAGAAATAGAGACCTGCAAGCTGATAACCAAAGGCTGAAATATGAAGTGGAGGCATTAAAGGTAATTGGGGCAGTAGAAGCTACTGTACTGGGGACAGGTTTGTGTAATATACTGGGTTTTATTAAAATGAGAAATACAGTTTTTAAGTGGTGCTTAAGAACAGAAGGTGAAAGCCGGGCGCTGGTGGCTCACGCCTGTAATCCTAGCTACTCAGGAGGCTGAGATCTGAGGATCACGGTTCAAAGCCAGCCCGGGCAGGAGAGACCTTGAGACTCCTATCTCCAATAAACCACCAGAAAACCGGAAGTGGCGCTGTAGCTCAAGTAGTAGAGCGCTCGCCTTGAGCTGAAGAGCTGAGGGACAGCCTCCAGGCCCAGAGTTCAAGCCCCACGACCAACCAAAAAAAAAAAAAAAAAAAAAAAAAAGAACAGAAGGTGATAAAAAAAAAATACAGTAGGAGGCCTAAGGTGCCAGGTGCAGTGGCTCACTTCTGTAATCTTAGCTACTCAGGAGGCCAAGACTTTTAGAGGATTGAAGTTTTGAAGCCTGGGTGGGCAGAACAGCCCTCAAGACTACCTTCAGTTAACCAGTGGAAAAAGCTGGACTGGAGTCCTGACTCAAGTGGTAGAGCACCAGCAATGATTGTAAAAACAGACTGAGAGAGAAAAGTTGATGGAGAGTGCAAGTCTGGTACTGGTGTGTGTGTGTGTGTGTGTGTGTGTGTGCGCGCGTGCGTGCGCGCGCATATGCACACATGCACACACACATACACAACACAAATAGCACAAGATGTCTTGTTATTTTTTGAGACAGGCTTTCACTATGTAGCATAGGCAGGCCTTAAATGCATGATTTTCCTGCCTCAGGCTTCTGAGTTTGGGATTACAGGCCTGTACTTTAACAGGTGCCTACGGTTTTTGTTTGTTTGTTTTGTGTGTGTGTGTGTGTGTGTGTGTGTGTGTGTGTGTGTGCGTGTTTATCTGTGTGTGGTACTGGGCCTTGAACTCAGGGCCTGGTGATGACCCTGAGCCTCTTGGTGCTCAGGGCTAGTGCTCTACCACTTGAGCCATAACACCACTTTCAGTTTTTGAATGGTTAATTAAGATAAGAGTTTCATGGTGACTTTTCTAAGCCTAGGCTGGCTTCCACCGTGATCCTTACATCTCAGCCTCCTGAGTAGCTAGGATTACAGATGTGAGCCACCGGTGTCTGGTTTCCTTTAGCTTTTTTGCTTAAGGTTGCTCTGTCACTTGAACCACAACTATACTTTTGGCTTTTTGGTGGTTAATTGGAGATGAGAGTCTTATATACTTTTCTGCCTGTACTGGCTTTGGACCAGAAGCCTCAGATTTCAGCCTTCTGAGTAGCTAAGATTACAGGCCTGAGCCACTGGCACCTGGCTTTAAGGTAAATTTTTAAAAACAATTTTTTATTTGCTTATATTAGTTATATAAAGGAGTTTCATTATATTTCTATACATGCATATAATATTACCTGATTAAAAACTCACCCCTCCACCACTCCCCATCATCCCTCTTTCCTCTCACACATGAATGTAAAGTATTTCAGCCATATTTTCCCTCATTCATCCCATCTATCACCCTCCCTCCTCACAGTGGGACCTGCCTACCAAATAGGCCTGAAATTCATCTTTTTTTTTAAATAATATTTTTTATTGTAAATATACTGTACAGAGGGGTTACAGTTACATGAGCAAGGTCATGAGTCCATATCCCATCAAGCATTGTTAGCCCCCTTTGTTTTTCCCCTACCATCCCTTTCCTCCCCACCTCCCCGACTCCTTCCTCCCTTCCTTCTCTTTTTCTTTTTCTTTCTTTTTTTTTTTGGGTCTGGTCGTGGGGCCTGAACTCTGGGCTTGGGCACTGTCCCTCAGCTCTTCAGCTCAAAGCTAGCACTCTACCACTTTGAGCCACAGTGCCACTTCCGGCTTTTTTCTTTTTGCTTATGTGGTGTTGAGGAATCGAACCCAGGGCCTCAGGCATGCAAGGCAAGCGCTCTACCACTGAGCCACCTTCCCAGCCCTCTTTTTCTTTTTCCTATAATTTAATTGTACACAGAGGGGTTTCAGCATGGTATTTACACGTGCATGTATTTTAGTCAGGTTAATCCCCTTTATTATCCCTCTCTCCTCCTCTTCTCTCCCTCTCTCTGTTGGTCATGAGACTTGAACTCAGGGTCTGGGTGCTGTCCCTAAGCTTTTTTCACTTAAGCTTTTTAACTCTCTATCACTTTGAGCAATAGTGCCACTTTGAGCTTTTTCTAAGTAGTTTATTGGAGGTAAGAGTCTCACAGACTTTCCTGGCTGGCTTTGATCTGTGATCCTCAGATCTCAGTCTCCCGAGTTGCTAGGATTACAGGTGTGAGCCACCAGTGCCTGGTGAATTTTTTTTCCTGGTCAGCCATGTGGCTTGAACTCAAGGCTTGTCTCTGAGCTTTTTTTTTATCAAGGCTAGTGCTCTACTGACTTTGAAACACTGGTCTTTTGGTGGTTAATTGGAGATAAGAGTCTTGTAGGGAATTTTCATGCTGGGCTAGCTTTGAGCTGCGATTGTTAGATCTCAGGCTTCGGAGCCTCTAGAATTACAGATGTGAGCCACTGGTGCCCAGCTTTAAGGTGAATTTTTGAATGATGTTTTCTTTCATGTGATCAAGAGTTTAGGAAGTCAGTTAGGAATTTTAAGGTGGTCATTTTTTTTTAGCTATAATGTTCCTTCTTACAGTTCATCTAATTTCCAGAAATTGTCTGATTGTTTTGTCAGATTATTCTCATTGTGCAGTACTTTAAAATTATATGAACTATTCACTTTTTATAGCACTTTTTAGGTTTGTTTGGAATTCAATTTGGGTTAGAAATTTCTCTTCTGGAAAAGTTTTCTGAAGTAAAAGGATTTTTCTACTCCTCATCACCCACCTTTGCCAATTGCTTGGAAGTGTTTCTGTAAGGAGTGGATAGATGTGGACAAGGTAGAGGAGGGTATGAGAGTTGAATGGCTGTCTACTTTTGAGCTTACCCTCAGTTTCACTCAACTTGAGAACCCAGAGAGGTTCCCCCATCAACTTTGGGAATTTTTTTCTTTTTTTTTGGGTCCAGTTGTGGGGCCTGAACTCTGGGCCTGGGCGCTGTCCCTCAGCTCTTCAGCTCAAGGCTAGCACTCTACCACTTGAGCCACAGCGCCACTTCTGACTTTTTTCTTCTTGCTTATGTGGTGCTGAGGAATCGAACCCAGGGCCTCAGGCATGCAAGGCAAGCGCTCTACCACTGAGCCATCTTCCCAGCCCCTGGGAATTTTTTTCTGGGCCTTAAAACTTAGAGTCTCTTGTTCTTTTTTTTTTTTTTGTCGTCAGTTGTGGGGCCTGAACTCTGGGCCCGGGCGCTGTCCCTCAGCTCTTCAGCTCAAATTGAGTGCTCTACCACTTCTGGCTTTTTCTGCTTATGTGGTACTGAGGAATTGAACCAAGGGCCTCTTCATGTGAGGCAAGCACTCTACCACTGAGCCACCTTCCCAGCCCCAGGGGGGGACCTCTTGTTCTTTTTTTTTTTTTTTTTAATTTAATTTAATTTTATTTGTGAACATACTGTACAGAGGGGTTACAATTACATGGGCAGGATAATGCGTACATTTCTTACCAAGCATTGCAGCCTCCTCCTTTGGTTTACCCTTCACATCCCTTCCCAGCCTCCCCCCTCCCCCCCAAGACCTCTTGTTCTTGCTCAGCTTTTTCATTCATTGCTAGCACTCTACCACTTGAGCCACATCTTCACTTCTGGCTTGTTATTGGTTAATTGGAGATGAGAATCTTGTGGATTTGCCTGTCTGGGCTGGCCCTGAACTACAGTTCTCAGATCTCAACCTCCTAAGTAGCTAGGATTACAGCTGTGAGCCACCGGCACCTGGCTTTTTTTTTTTTTTTTGGGTCAGTGGTGGGGCTTGAACACTGGGCCTGGGTGCTGTCTCTCTGCTCTCTTCAGCTCAAGGTGAGCACTCTACCATTGGAGCCACAGTGCCACTTCTGGTTTTTTTTTTTGGTCCGGTCGTGGGGCCTGAACTCTGGGCCTGGGCGCTGTCCCTCAGCTCTTCAGCTCAAGGCTAGCACTCTACCACTTGAGCCACAGCGCCACTTCCGGCTTTTTTCTTTTTGCTTATGTGGTGCTGAGGAATCGAACCCAGGGCCTCAGGCATGCAAGGCAAGCGCTCTATCACTGAGCCACCTTCCCAGCCCCCCACTTCTGGTTTTCTGGTGGTTAATTGAAGATAAGAGTCTCATGGACATTCCTGCCTGGGCTGACTTTGAACCACGATCCTCAGATCTCAGCCTGCTGAGTAGCTAGGAGTATAGGCGTGAGTATAGGCGTGAGCCACTGGCACCTGGCTTGACACCTGGCTTTAACTTTGGGAATCTTATGGCAAATGTTTTTTGTTTTTCAGAGAGCATTATTAGATTTCTTTCTTAGAGGAGAATAGTTGATTATCAAAGTTTTGTATAAGACACTCAAGAATAGATGTGCCATTTAGTTTTTTACATATTGTGAAAAGAAGGGGGTGTCATCAACTCAGATTGTGAGCAGATTATTTTGTTTTCTTTTAGTTTGTGTTATGTTCTTATTAAAAGACTGTATTTTAACAATACAACCTTTGTTTCATGTACTCATGCCCTCAGGAAAAATTAGAACATCAGTATGCACAAAGCTACAAGCAGGTTTCAGTATTAGAAGATGATTTAAGTCAGACACGGGCTATTAAGGAGCAGTTGCATAAGTATGTAAGGGAGCTGGAGCAGGCCAATGATGACCTGGAGCGGGCAAAAAGGTAAGTGCTGGTATGCATTTGTGAGAATAATCAAGCGAGCAACTGGAGATTAAAATTTTTATCATTAGGCTCAAAGTTCCATTTTAGTAGCAGAACATTTCCCTTTGGTATTTCATGTCAGTTCACTGAAATGGAGGCTAATCTTTCCAGATTAGCTTTTCTTTGAAATTTTCTTTTTCATTCATGTACTGTTTTTTTCGTGGTCTTTCCCCCCTCCCCCCCCCCCCCGCATGTGCCCGCCCCCTGCATCCCCCCCCCCATTTTCCTTTGTGTCTCATGAATCCCTCCAGCTTCCCTATGTTCTCAGTGCTGCTGCCACACTTTCTATAGGTTCTCAGTTTTTGTTTTTTGGTTGGTTGTGAGGCTTGAACTCAAGGCCTGGGTGCTCTCCCTGAGCCTCTTTGAGCTCAAGGCTATCGCTTTACCGCTTGAGTCACAGTGCCACTTCTGGTTTTTGAGTGGTTAGCGATAAGAATCTCACAGACTTTGCTGCCCAGGCTGGCTTTGAACCGTGATCTTCAGATTTCAGTCTCTTCTGAGTAGCTAGGATTATAGGTGTGAATCACTGGCATCCTCCTAGGTTCTCAGTTTTAAACATGGATTCTGCAGTTATGTCCTAGCTGATCTGTCTTTATGTTTGTTTCCTTTTTACTCTCCTCTGTTTTAATACAGTCCAGTGAATTTCCCAAAGTACAGCTTTCATACAGTTTTCCTGAATATTATGTGGTTGATTGTTATCACTATTGCCAACTTCTCCTGCCTCTGTAATTAGTAGTTCTGAATCCTTTCAAGCATAATTTTTTTTTAGCCAGTCCTGGGGCTTGAACTCAGGGCCTGGGCACTGCCTCTGGGCTTCTTTTGCTCTAGGCTAGCACTCTACCATTTGACCCATAGCACCACCTCTGGCCTTTTCTGTTTATGTGGTACTGAGGAATCGAACCTAGGGCTTCATGCATGCTAGACAAATACTCTACCATTAAGTCACATTCCCAGCCCCAAACATAATTCTTATTACTTTATAATTATTGCCCAGTATTTCTTTAATATTTATCATGTGACTCTTAAGTGATTGACATAATGCTGGAGCTGGGGATATAGAACTATAAGCTAGTCACTGCCCTGGAGCTGACAATAAGAACATTCACCATGAGAAATGCTTTAGTAAAAAGAATGTGTACAGGCTATGCCAGATCATAGAGGAAGAAGCAGCCAGAGAGCATCTGTGGGAATCAGGGAGCCTTTCCAGATGTTGGAGCCTGCTAAGAGGAAGAAAGGTTGACCAAGTGAAGAAACAGGTGAGAGGTAGAGAGGCAAGAAGGCACTTTTGAGGTATTAATAGTTCATTTTGATTGACAAGTCTAGAGTTAGCCTTGCTGAATGAAATAAAACTGGTAGATGCTTGGGGTCAGGTTGTAAAAAAAACAACGCCCATATGCTATGTTAGTGTCACTATAGGCAAAGGGGGGAGCTCTTTAAGATTTTTTTTTCCTGAACAAATGAACAATACAGATCTTGATTTGAGAAGATAATACTGAGGGATTGGAAGCAGGGAGATAGGAAGACCATTAAGGGTAATCCAGATGAAGAATTGAGGCTGAAAATTGGAGAAACTTGGGGCCAAAAAGAGGAAATGGATTTGAGAGCAATTTTTGGCAGTTGGCAGAAACTAGTAAGATTGTAGATGGCATTCAGAGTCCTAATCTGAGGTTGGGAATTTTTTTTTCTGTAGCAAATAGCACCCAGTGGGAGGGGTAGTTGATTGTTGAATGGGGTGAGATCATTCTCTTTGAACTAGGTCAGGATAGCTAGGTCAGGAATAGTAGATAAACTGTTTCATTTTGTGTTAGCAATATACACGTGTTATTTATTTAATTCCTGGGCTGTTAAATTTTTTTTTTTATAGAGCAACAATAGTTTCATTGGAAGACTTTGAACAAAGGCTAAATCAGGCCATTGAACGAAATGCATTTTTAGAGAGTGAACTGGATGAAAAGGAATCTTTGTTGGTCTCTGTACAGAGGTTAAAGGATGAAGCAAGAGGTAAGATTTCTAATTTAGAGAATATTTACCCATTACCTGTTGAAACTAAGCCAGAGAAAGCTCAAGGATTGACTTCTTTTATCTTTCATTTTTTATATTTTAACTTTTTTTTGCAGTGTTGAAAATGAAACCCAGGGTCTTGTGCCTGCTAGGCCAGTGCTCAGTGAGCTACATACCTCCCTAGTTAAGTTTTAGTTTTACATAATTTTTAAGGTCTGTGCTAAGTGCTGCTGATCTGCGAATTTATTTTAATACCCATGCCATTAGGTATCACCCCATTTTCTTGAATAAGAAACCAGAGACACATAGAGTTTGTGTTTTGTCCAATGTAATACAGCTTTTCAGCTGTGATTCAAACCCTGACTTCTTGCCCAGATCTTTAACTACCACTGCACATATTCTACTTGGCTTTTTAAAAAAAATTGCTTCTATCTAAATAAATTCATGTAATGCACGTAGCACTATGTTATTTACATATTATCCATATAGTGAATGTATATGTATTTCTTTTTTCTTTTTTTTTGGTCGGTCGTGGGGCTTGAACTCTGGGCTTGGGTGTTGTCCCTGTGCTCTTCAGCTCAAGGCAAGTGCTCTACTGCTTGAGCCACAGCGCCTCTTCCAGTTTTCTAGTGGTTTATTGGAGATAAGAGTCTTATGGTTTTTCCTGCCCAGGCTGGCTTTGAACTGTGATCCTCAGATCTCAGCCTCCTGAGTAGCTAGGATTACAGGCGTGAGCCACTGGAGCCCGGCTTTATGTATTTCTTTTAAAACTTTGTCTCCTTCCCTTCTTTCCCTTATGCATAACAGAATGCAGAATATTGTAAAGAAGAAAGTAAAAGTTGCTGCCAATCTCTTTAGAGGAGAATTTGCTAACAGCTTGACTTACTTCGTTCCAGTTCTTTACTATGACTGTGTAGAAACATAACTATTATTTTCCTTTCTGTAATTCATGGCACTGTTCCCCTCAGCAATCACACACACACACACACACACACACGCACACGCACACATGCACGCACGCATGCACACACGCACACACACATTTCCTTTCTTCCCTTTCTTACTCCTTAATATAGAGAATATATCCCACACCATTGTGAACTTTTAAAATAGGGTTTTATGAATATTATATTCTAATAGTTCCTTATTGGTAGATACTTTCTTTTGTGCTATAAATAGTACTGTTACTGGGATCTGCGTACATAATATTTCGGAGTATGTTTGAAGATTCCCTTAGAAGGAATTCTTAAAAGTGATAAAGGAAATGAATATTTTTATGGATATACGGTTATCTTTTACATAAGTGGAACCTCACAGCTCTGTGTGGCAAAGAGTGAGGGAGGGTCCTCCTGCTGTTTATTATTAGCATTGTTCCTAATAAAATATATTTTAAAATTATTTTTTATTACTTTTTTTTTTTTTTTTTGGTCGCTTGTGAGGGCTGAACTCTGGACCTGGGCACTGTCCCTCAGCAATTCAGTGCAAGACTAGTGCCCTACCACTTGAGCCACAGCGCCACTTCTGGATTTTTTCTGCTTATGTGGTGCTGAGAAATAGAACCCAGGGCCTCATGCATGCAAGGCAAGCACTCTACCACTGAGCCACCTTCCCAGCCCTTTAAAATTATTTTAAAATAAATACTTTTTTTTTTGGTTGGTCATGGGGCTTGAACTCTGGGCCTGGGCACCGTCCCTCAGTTCTTCAGATCAAGGCGAGTGCTCTACCATTTGAGCCACGGCACCACTTCTGGTTTTCTGTGGTTTATTGGAGATAAGAGTCTTATGGACTTTCCTGCCCAGGCTGGCTTTGAACCGTGATCCTCAATCTCAGCCTCCTGAGTAGCTAGGATTACAGGCATGAGCCACCTGTGTCCGGCTAAATAAAACCTTTTGCAAGTATAAAATTGCTCTTATTCTTTAATTTGTAATTCTTTGATTACTACTTCTGAAGCTTTTTTCCAGTCTGTTTTGATCCCTTTATCCCCCATGCCTTTTCTTATTTCTCCTAAGGGGATAGTGTATTTGTTTGAAGAACTTTCATACTTTATGTAATATATACAATACTAACTTTCGATCTTAGCACAAAATACCTAGCATTACATTGCCATCTTAACTGTTTTCAAATGCAGAAATCAATTCTAAGTGTACTCACATTGTTGAATAACAGATCTTTAGAACTTCATCTTGCAAAACTGAAACTATATATAAACTATATATAACTATATGTAAACTATATATAACTATATATAAACTATATATAAACTATATATAAACCATTATATAATAGCAGTTCCTTTGCTCTCCCCAACTTTTGAAACCACAGTTCTGCATTTTGTTTCTGTGAGTTTTGACTACTTTTGATACCTCATAGAAGTGGAATTTTGCAGTATTTGTCTTTTTTTGTGACTGGCTTGTTTCACTTGGCACAATGTCCTGAAAGTTTGTGTTGTAGTATATGACAGGATTTCTTTGCTTATAAGAACTGATGCATTACATGCATCTGTGTTCTGTATTTATTCATTCATAATGAACATTTAGGTTGCCTATATCCCTTGGTTGTTCTGGATAATATTGCTAGAACACAGTCTATTTCATTTTTTTAATCCCCAAAGAGGGATAACTTCTTATTCTTTTTTAACATAAGGAAATATTATATAGTTTTATTTGTATAATGGGAAAGAAAACTTAATTCTGAGTTAAAAGTTCAATATTTGAAAGCAAGAAAAAATTTAAACTTAGAAATAATTCTTTCCCAGAGAAAATATTTCATAGTGGTGATTAAAAAATAAAAATAAAACTCTACTTCGTTGATTTTTACAGTAATCCCCAAAGGTCATAATTTCAAAATATGAAAACAAATGTGTTGGTATAGAATATTTATGTTTTTGTTGTTCAAGGCTGGTGCTCTACTATTTGAGCCACATCTCTGCTTCTGAGTTGGTACAGAACATTTATAGGTTCCCTAGGAGTTATGTTTTAGACCTTGTTTGACTCTCTTCTCTTTATGCATTTGAGTATAATACTTGTCTTTGAGGTAATAGCATTTTTAAGTTGTAGTATCATTTGAGCTCTAGAGTTGTTATCCCTCTTCCCCCCAAGATGAAAATAGAATTTGAAGAATACGATTAGGATATTTTAGGTGTGACATTGTTCCATTTAGTATCTATACCTTTGTTTGCAACACTTTGCAGATTTAAGGCAAGAGCTGGCAGTCCGGGAAAGACAACAGGAAGTAACTCGAAAGTCTGCTCCTAGTTCTCCGACTCTAGACTGTGAAAAGATGGATTCTGCTGTCCAGGCCTCACTCTCCTTGCCAGCCACTCCTGTAGGCAAAGGAACAGAAAACAGTTTTCCTTCACCAAAAGGTTTGTTGTGCTTTTTTTTTTTCTCTTTTTCTTCTTGTTGTCATGGGGCTTGAACTCAGGGTCTGAGTACTGTTCTTGAGCTCTGTTTTTGCTCAAGGCTAGTACTCTACCACTTTGAGCCACAGCACCACTTCTGTTTTCTGGTGGTTAATTGACTATAAGAGTCTAGGACTTTCCTGCCAAGGGCTTGCTTTCAACCACGATCCTCAGATCTCAGCCTCCTGAGTAGCTAGGATTACAGGCATGAGCCACCAGTACCCAACCATGCTTTTTTTTTTTTCCCTCTGAGGCTATGTTAGGTTATTTATCTGAAAGGGTTAGCAGAAGTTGCTAAAGTTTAACTAGAAAATTATTTTGAAAGTTAGTTTGGGGCTTGGAATGTGGTTCAGTGGTAGAACCCTTCCTGTCTAGTAAGCTCTGGATTTGATCATTAGCACCGCAAGAAAACAAAAGAGTTGAGCCTTGTATCATCTGCATTTAATCTAGTCACTGGTAGACTTAGAAGGAAGATGTGGGTTCAGGCTAGCCTTGGCTACATAGCAAGAAGAAAAAAAAAAGACAAAAAGTTGGTTTTGTGCTATGTAAAACAAGGAATTGTTCTCTTGGATCACTTACATACATATGAAATTTAATCAAGAACAACCTTAATGAGATTTTAAACAGTTTAAAAGTTTTAAAGAAAAGCATATTTTGGTTATGTTAGTAATACACGTTTATGCAGCTTGAGTTTTTTTTTTCTTCTGTGAATGCCTATGTGTGTTTGTGCAAACCTTGTCAGACATCAGTTTTGGGATTATACTGTTTTATTTCTTGCTTTTGCCACTTCTTGTAGTATGGGAAAACAGAAGCCATTAATGCACAGAGGCACAGAGATGTTTGAGTTATTCAGAGGCACATAAGGCTGGCTCAGAGCCAGGTGCCCGTTCTTGTAGATGTTTCAGAAGCTGCTGTTACATCAAAGGTTACATCTGGGAAATGGTTGGTGCCACAATGAGAAGGTTCCTCTTGCTGCCAACCAATGTATTATGTAATCCAAGTAAGGAGAAAAATGAATTTGTAGCCACTAGAGAGGACCTTAGAATGCAATCCCAAAGCTCTTGATTCTATTTGTTCAGTTTTTGTAGTTTACAGATTATATCCCAGCTCCCTCATTCTCCCATGCTTTCTTACTCCCCAAGCCAGAGCTGCCTGTCTTCTGTCCCCTCTATCTGTCAATGGGATGTGTATGAGAAGATTTTCTGTTTGGGCAGTCAGTACAGTACGTTCTCTGTATCCATGCTGCTCAGTATGGTATCAGGTAGCCACTTGTGACTATTTCAATTTACGGTCAAAAACACAAAGTACATGGGGTTGGGAATGTGGCTTAGTGGTAGAGCCTAGCATGCATGAAGTCCTGGGTTGATTACTCAGTACCAAATAAACAGACAAAGCTAGAAGTGGCACTGTGGCTCAAGTGGTAGGGTGCAAACCTTGAGCAAAAGAAGCTCAGGGACAGTGCCCAGGCCCTGAGTTCAAGCCCAGCTCTAGCAAAAACAAAAAAAACAAAACCAAAAAAACCCACAAAGTTCAATTCCTCAGTTTATTAGTGGAATTTCAAGTGATAGCTTGATCGAGACTTGTTATGAGGTGAAATTAGGTACGAGTTACTAGTACCTTATTACACTAATTTGTACTGTGTTTACTGCCCTGGCTACAGGACAAGCAATATATAGAGTAGAGCAGTCATGAGAAGCTCTTGCTGTCAGTTATGAACTGAAGTAAGTTATTGAAATCTGAGAATTAGCCATTTGACCTTTTTGCTTACAATGGTCCAACTTAGGTCTGAAGATTGTTTATTTGCCCACTGATAGCAATAATCAAACATATTGAGGGGCTAGATATATGGCTGAAGAGGTAGGGCTCTTGTCTAGCAAGTTTGAGGGCTTGAGAGTTCAAACCCCAGTACTGTTAAAAAAAAAAACAAAAACCAAAAAGTTAATGATGGAAGCAATTCTGGAATAGAAAATGTGTAAGAATAGTCAAGAAAAATTGGAAATAAGAGTCTTCATTAAGCATCAAAAATTTAAGTATCAAGTAGCATACTTTATATACATTAATATATACATATTAAATTAATATATACATTAAATGTATATATATATATATACATTATATACATTAAATTGTACCTCATTAATATGTACAAGTTTTGTGTTTTTATGTATCAGTTAAAAATGAGTTAAAGTTATGTAATTCTAGTGGAAATATATTCAAACACTAAATTATAGGTTCATTAAATGATCTCGGGTTTATTTTATTTTGGGTAGTATTGGGGTTTTAACTTGGGGTCTTATACTTGCCGCGTGAGCCACTCTGCCAGTCCTTTTTGCATTGATTATTTTTGAGATAGGGTCTCACATAATATTCAGACTGGGCTAGATTGCCTCCTGTTGGATTCCCTGTATAGCTGGAATTAAAGGTGTACACCACCACGAGTAGCTGTAGGTGGGATGGTAGGTGTATACTACTGTGACCATTGGCTGGGTTCTTGAACTTCTTGCCTGATCCCTGATCTCTGATCTCTTACTCCCAAGTAGATAGAATTACAGTTGAACCAATACACCTAGCTAGGGAATATTTTATAATATTGAGATGGAGAAGCCAAAGATTCTCCTGTAAAATAGAAAAGATAAATGCCATCCTGACATGAGAGAGACTGTGTAAGAAAAAGGATGAGGTCGGGTGCTGGTGGCTCATGCCTGTAATCCTAGCTATTCAGGAGGCTGAGATCTGAGGATCTCGGTTCAAAGCCAGCCCGGGCAGGAAAGTCTGGAAGTGGCGCTGTGGCTCAAGCGGTAGAGCACTCGCCTTGAGCTGAAGAGTGCAGAGACAGCGCCCAAGCCCAGAGTTCAAGCCCCGTGACAGACCAAAAAAAAGAAAAAGGATGAGTATTCATAATGTATAGAGCCCTTGAAAGTAGATTTAAGAAAACCAACTAAAAAAGGTACAAAGAACGAAGATGATTTCCAGGAGAAATTGACCAGGTATTAAAGAGGTAAAAATTTAGACAGAGTAACTACCATTGACTGAAAAAAGAAGGTTAATATGTAATGTTATTCAGAGTACTGCTATACAAATTGCTGATTATTGGCATAATGTTTTTATGGAGCATTTTGGCAATATCTATTAAGGTGAAAGAAAGGGTGTCCTGACAGAGGACAATCTTGTCTTCAGAAGCACTGGTTCAGAGGTGCTCCTATTTAGTTGATAGTCTTAAGTCATCCAGGTTTAAACTTAAGTTATTAGGTTAAGCCTTCTATATTTTATCCATAATTGTATAGTTCATCTGTAATGTGAAAATTGATTATGTATTGAGTGTATCCTGCTTTGTAACATCACCAACAAAACCCAATGTACAGATTGCTGCTAATGTCATTTTACTGTCCTTTTTTCTCTAGCTATACCAAATGGTTTTGGAACCAGTCCACTAACTCCTTCTGCTAGGATATCAGCACTAAATATCGTGGGGGATCTCTTACGGAAAGTAGGGGTAAGCATTTAGTTATTTATCACTAGGTGTTTCCACTGCTGGGGTGGTGTTGAAATAAGGGAAGGAAAAAAGAATACCTTTCTGTGGTAAGAATTGTCAGGAAGCTGAGCAGTGCAGGCATCCAGTGTGAGCTGTCTGGACTAGTGTCCAGGTGAATACCTCAGCACTGGCTAGCAGCACTTCTGCATGAGGGCCAGGCTCTGAGGTGACATGCCACTTAACTCTTCTCCATTGTGCCTATAGCATGATGCCTTTGTCCTTGTTTCAGACACTTCCCCTGAGGCCTGGTTTGAGCTCTTGTAATCCTGGTCTTTGCCTGTCTCTTTCATCTTCCTGGTCCTTTTCTCATCTTTTATTTTGTAGGGCACTAGCAGTTGGTTCATGGCCTGACCACTATTTCTCTGTCTTAATGCTCTTGGGCCATCTCATCTCCAGTGCCTTCTCTTTGGCTCAAGTCTCAAGTCTCAAGTCTCAAGTCTCATATTCCAGAACAGTTTGGCTTTTGAAATATTACGGTCTCTATTTTTTCTTACTCTTATTTTTTTCTTATTGGAGATAGCATCTTCCTTCATTGTCCAAACTAGTCTCAAACTACTGCTCCAAGTGATTCTCCTGTCTACATGTCCAGCTCCTTTTTTTCTTTTGGGTCCGGTCGTGGGGCTTGAACTCTGGGCCTGGGCGCTGTCCCTCAGCTCTTCAGCTCAAGGCTAGCACTCTACCACTTGAGCCACAGCACCACTTCCGGCTTTTTTCTTTTTGCTTATGTGGTGCTGAGGAATTGAACTCAGGGCCTCATGCATTCAAGGCAAGCGCTCTACCACTGAGCCACCTTCCCAGCCCCATGTCCAGCTTCTTGTTCAGTCTTTTATTGCTTAATATTTACTCTTTGACCTTATCAAGAATAATGCCATTTTATTGTGTACTACTAGGGTGTCAGCTCAGGACCTCATATTACTAGGCAGGCACTCTGTCATCTGAATCACATCTCTATCTTTTATGCTTCAGTTACTTTTCAAATAAAATCTCATATGATCCTCCTACCTATGTCTCCAATGCACTTGTTTGTTGAGGTGGATACTTAGCAACTTTTTTCCCTGGGCTAGTGTCAAATTTTAGTCATCCTATATCTGCTTCCCAAATAACTGGGATTACAGACATGAGCCACCACACCCAGTATTTATATCCTGTCTCTTGCTTTCATTTCCTTTCTACTCCTCCACTATCCCACTATTCACACTTAATTCTTGCTGTTGGTTGAAGGAGACTTGCAATTTAGAACAAAGAGGCTGGATGACTGGAAACAGGCTCATACAGATTCTTCACTACTGTATAGTCAGCACTTTTAACTTCACTGCCTTCTGTGTATCCCTCAAGTGACTGACTTGGCTTTTTTAATAATTAACTCATTACATTCCACCGTTCACCACCCCTTCACTTATTTGTGTGAGACATTTTTTCTAAAAAAATGTAGAAGTTGAAGTATACTTTAGCTAATGAAGAATTGGAAATCTAAGACACAGTCTCATGTTTGCTTTTTTCTGGCTCCTAAAATAGATTCTTTTCTAACCATCAGATTAGCTCCAAATCTTCACTTTAAAAACTTACTATAAAAAGCAATGTGCATGAATGATTCATGCAGTGTGCACAGTAATCTTCCCTTACTAAAGATAATTCTAAAGTCATATTTGTTGTAAGTTAGTGTTTAACTCTGTAACATAAAATGATGTGCCTATTTGTATTTTGATTTAATCAACTTCAAACAAAAAGATTTTGAGAGAGAGAACCTACTACCTCTCAATTTTATTTCTGTTTTTTACATTGGTTAGATTTATAAATTTTAATATATATGCATATGTTCACATACAGATGTATGCATATACACACATGTATTTCTTATGTGGGAGTGAGGATGGAATTCAGGGGCTAATGCATGCTAAGCTTGTGCTCTGCCTCTGAGCTACATCCCTACTCTTGAATAACTTTGTTTAGAGCTCTGAATTTATTAACTAGCTGAGCTCTTTCTTCTCTCCCTCCCCCATCTTTCTTTCCTTGTGTGTGTGTGTGTGTGTGTGTGTGTGTGTGTGTTTGCACGCGTGCGCGCGAAAGGAGAAAGAGAGGGGGGAGGGAGAGAGAGAGAGGGAGGAGAGAGAACCTTATGCTCTAGCTCCACTTTCTTTAGCCTGTAGTTAGCTGTTGGTCTACTAGTTGAGCAGTACCTCCAGTTCCAGCTTTTTGCTAGTTAATTAAGAGATAAGAGACTCTTGGATTTGTCTGCCCTGAATGGCTTTGAACCGTGATCCTCAGATCTCAGCCTCCTGAGTAACCAGGTTATAGGGATGAGTACCTAGACTGCTATTTTTTTTTTTTGGTCTGTCATGGGGCTCGAACTCTAGGCCTGGGTGCTGCCCCTCAGCTCTTCAGCTCAAGGCTGGCGCTCTACCACTTGAGCCACAGCGCCACTTCCAGCCTTTTCTGCTTACGTGGTGCTGAGGAATCGAACCCAGGGCCTCATGCATGTAAGGCAAACATTCTACCATTGAGCCACCTTCCCAGCCCCATTTTTTTTTTTTTTATTGTAAAGATACTATACAGAGGGTTACAGTTGCATGAGTGAGGTAATGAGTACACTTCCTCTTGAACATTGTTACCCCCTCCATTGTTTTCCCCCTACCCCAGCCCCATTTTTTAAAATTCCTTTTTTGTTTTTGTCAGTCATAGGGCTTGAACTCAAGACCTGTACAGTCCCTGAGCTTTTTTATTCAAGGCTATAGTGCTCTACCACTTTGAGCCACAGCTCCACTTCTGGTTTCTGGTGGTTATTTGTTGATAAGAGTTTGATGGACTTTCCTGCCTGGGCTGATTTTGAACTGTGATCTCAGCCTTCTAAGTAGCTAGAATTATAAGTGTGAGCCACAGGCACCCGGCCGGCTGTCCCTTTTTAAGGGACAGCTAACTATATTGGTTGTGAGTTCTTACTTAGTTCCAAAATTGAAGCTTAGTCATGCAGTATTTACAATATGATGTCTATAATACACATTATCACAAGATTACAAGAGAGGAGGGCCTGTGCTCTATATTTGTCCCACTTAACAAGTATTTTGGATATCTCATTCTTTTTTCTTCTTCTTGTTTTTTTTTTTTTTTTGATTGGTTGTGGGGCCTGTGTGCTGTCCCTCAGCTCTTCAGCTCAAGGCAAGCACTCTTAACACTTGATCCATAGTGTCACTTCTGGTTTTCTGGTGGTTTATTGTGCAGTTAAGATTCTGACAGACTTTTCTGCCTAGGCTGGATTTGAAACAGTGATCCTCAGATCTCAGCCTCCTGAGCAGCTAGGATTGTATGTGTGAGCTGTCAGTGCCCAGCTGGACATCTCATTCTTTAACTGTAACTCTTAATTTATGTTTTTGTCATAGTTGACTTGCATGTTTCCTGTTTTCCTAGCATTTAAAATCTTTGTTCTTGTTGAGGTAGAAGAAACACATTTTCTCTGCTTACTTTCCAGTTTTTCCTTCTGTCCCTCAATTCCATATTCATTTTCTAGATTCCTTCTTTGCTTTAGTACTATAAGTAATTTATTCAGAGGTGTTGGAGTTGTCCATTCCACTAAGGTGTCCCTAAGGTTTGGTGTGCTGTACCGACTATGCATATTTTCTACTTCTGTATGCACCTTTGTCAATTGCCTTGAACTAGAAGCCCCTTCCCCACTAGAATCCTCTTCCCAGGGCAAAATCAAGGCCATCTGGTTTAAACTTGATTTCCTCTATTATCTTCTGATATTACCTTCCTGCTATTACTCTCTAGCCTTTTCCTCCCTCCACCCCCCTTTCATTTTTTTGGTTGCTGTTATTGGGGCTTAAACTTAAAGGACCTCTTTTTTTCAGTTGGCTTTTTCACTTAAAGTGTGATCTACTGCTTGAGCTACACTTCATTTCTAGCTTTTTGCTGGTCAGATAAGAGCCTCTGGCCTGTCTGCCTAGGCTGACTTTGAGCCTTGACCCTCAGCTCTCAGTCTCCTGTATAGCTAGGATTATAGGTGTAAAACATTTGATGCCTCTTTTTTTTTAATGTAAAAAATAAAAAATAGAAGCAGTTGTTTCCTTTTATGCTACATTTCTCTTTAACCATTGTTCTCTCTCCCTCTTATGGCCAGGCCTTTTAAAGTCTGAATATATTGTTAGTATTTTGATTGCACATGTAATCCCCAGGCATTCTGACCTCTGCTCTGTTACCTGCTCCAGCCACTAAAAGTGCTTACTGCTGATCTCAGTGCTGACAGATCCAATGTGTGCTGTCCTTATTTTATGTGAAACATTCAACACCAACCTGTTTGTCTTCTCTGAGTTTTCCTTTCTTCTGCACCCCTGATACTGTTTCAGGGATGATCCCACTTTCTGTGCATTCCTCTTCATCTTCTTGTCTGCCCATTCTTTCAGTGTTGGTTTATTAAGAGTTTTTCCTTGCTTTTCTGATCTTCACAGGCATGATTTTATCTATCCCTGGGTGTGGATAGCTTCCAATTCTTAAAATTGTAGACTACCTTCTCCCCTTGAAAAGCTTTGTTGATGGCACCTCAAATATAACTTGTGCCTGCCTTGGGGTTAAAGCTCACACACATTTGAATGAATAGACAAGTCTCTTTATGGAAATAAGGAACTAGTGGTGCTCTGCCTGTTGTAGATAATTTACTACCACTGAACATTGCTCATTCAGGTCATTACCTACATTTGCTGGATTTCATTTATTTTATTTTCTGTCCTAGAGTTTGAACTCAGAGCCTGGATGCTGTCCCTGAGCTCTTTTGCTCAAGGCTAGTGCTCTACTACTTGAGTCACAGCTCTGCTTTTGGCTTTTTGGTGAATAATTGGAGATAAGAGGCTCACAAACTTCTCTGTCTGTGCTGGCTTTGAACCTCAGTCTTCAGATCTCATCCTCCTGAGTAGCTAGGATTACAGGCTTGAGCCACCAGCACCCAGGTGTTAAGAGTTTTTTTTTTTTTTTTTAATTGAAATGATGGAGGTAGGATGTCCATATGGAATCTCAAAGTGAAGTGTGTGTTAACTGTGGATTTTATTTATTTGTGCATTTCTAATCTTCTAATATTGTGGATAATAGAACCTGTCCCTCCCTTTGCTATATTTGATTGGGCAGAGTATTAATGGGAAAATGGGAGTTTGTAATACCCTTATGGGAGCAGATGAGAAATGCCTGTTTTTTGGGGGAGTTGGCACTTTGCAGTTGACATGGCAGGTGTAAAGTAAGGGCACTTGATTTGCAGGTAAGTGCCTAAGGTCCAGGCCCACTTACAGGCCAATTATTTAATTACAGACGGAGTGAGTATCAGGTAAACATTTTAAAGTGTGCTCTTAAAAAAGAAAATGGCTTTTTATTTCAAATGAGGGATTGTAAATGTTTAAATCTACTCTGATGCAGTGGATAAAACAAGAATCCATAAGAAGAATTTGCTGTATTTAAAAACATTCAAAGTGAGGTTTTTGGATTTTTTACAATGCTTGTTTCCTACACATTACACACGTACATACCAGTCCCAGCCTTACCATCAGACTACAAAATAACAAATAATGGATGATTGGTCTCTCCTCATACCGCTAAACTCACAAACACACTCACTTCCTCCCTCCCCATCTCTCTTCCTGTCTTCCCTCTCTTCCCTCACTCTTCTTCTCTCACTCCAACCCCAGCCAGTAGGCTACAACTTAACCATACCTCCACAAATAATAGATCTGGGATGTTTTTGTATCTACCTGTGTCATATCTTTCTTAGTTGTAAGGTGTGGCTAATTCCTTATCCTTCAGTAAACTGAGAGGAGTATGTAAAATCTCTGAGGTCATTAGAAAGGGAGTCAGCACAAACATCCCTTTTGTAATTAGAAAGAGGATTCATTATGGCTTATCTGCTGTTATCCTTCTGGAAAGTAAGGGTTAAGGCCTGATATAGACATGATTTGAAATGCAAATTTTCCTGTGTAGCTACTGTTTTGACAATCAAATCATTTCTTTTTTCTTTCATAGGCTTTAGAATCCAAATTAGCAGCTTGCAGGAATTTTGCAAAGGACCAAGCATCACGAAAATCCTATATTTCAGGGAACGTTAACTGTGGGGTGATGAATAGCAATGGCACAAAGTTCTCTCGATCAGGACACACGTCCTTCTTTGACAAAGGGTAAGTACTGGACTTTCTGAGTGATTATTTTAGAGTAGTAACACTGCAGATTATTAGGTTAGATTACTGAAGTCTTGAGAAGGTAAACTCACTTTGATAAACTTACCTGAAGCTTGTTCTTGGAGTCTAGAGATGGTAAACTCAGCTTGATAAACTTACCTGAAGCTTGTTCTCATTCAAATCTTGGGGGGCAGACATCTGTTATTGTGTTATTGCCTTCTGGTCTCTGTGGAGTCTGTTGCCCAGGCATCTGGAGTTTGCAGTAGTGCTGGGCTTGGGAGAGCCTCAGGGCTTTGATGTGGCCTGTCCTCTCCAGGGACACTGTTCTCCTGGGAGACTTTGTCAGCAGATCTTTTTAAAGATTATTTATATGCAATTATGTACAGTATATGCAGACTTAAGTCTTTTATCTGAAAATTTTAGAAAAACATAAAGCCCTTGAAGTATCTAGACTTGGATCAAATACAGTTGAGAAAAGAATAAACTTCTGTAGGAAGTGAAAGCTTCTTGTGAGAATTGAAATAAACAAAAAGTCTCAAGATAAGAACAATGGTATAGTCTTAATAGAGCATTTCCTTTGGTATGGAAGTATGTGAAGCAGAAAGTAGCTCTTCTGTCTTCACAGTTTTTTGCATTCTTTTTTTTTTTTGGTTGTTGTGGGGCTTGAACTCTGGGCTGGGCACTGTCCTGAGCTCTTCAGCTTAAGGCTAGCCACAGCGCCACTTCTGGTTTTCTGGTGATTAATTGGAGATAAAAGTCTCATGGACGCTTCTGTCTGGGCTGTCTTTGAACCGGATCCTCACATCTCAGCCTCCTGAGCAGTTAGGATTGATTACAGGTGTGTGCCACTAGTGCCAGGCTAGGATTTTGCATTCTTAAGTTATTCTTAAGTATGTAGTCATATTTAATGCATCTACTGTAAGCTTTTTTTTTTTAAACACATTTATGAGGTTATACTTGAAATATTGCTCTGCCATATGTCATGACTTTCCTTGCCAGTCTCTACCTGATTAGTGTATAGCTATCCCCTTGTTACAGGCATGACTTTTTTTTTTTTTTTTTTTTTGAGGGCTTGGATTCAGGGTCTGAGTGCTGTCCCTTAGCTTTTCCTCTCAAGGCTGGTGTTCTACAACTCTAGCAACATCTTCACTTTGGACTTTTTGCTGGTTAACTGGGGATGAGTTTCATAGACTTGCCTGGGCTGGCTTCAACCCACACTCCTGAGTAGCTAGGATTACAGGTGTGAGCCACCAGCACCCAGTGCTATCTTATTACAGGGAAGCAGTTAGGACTTGTAACCTGGAGATGCTGACCATGCAACTTCAGGTAGCTGTTACTGGACTAGCAACTGAGGCACCCATGACGTCTTGCCATCTCTGTCTTGTGAGTCACAGACAGTTCTTTCTTGTTTTTCTGTGTAAACAATGGTGGACAATTATAGAAAATTCCACAATATCTTAAGCTTGTTTTTTTTTGTGGTCCTCTATAATTATGGTTTGTTTGGAAGGACCAGATCTATGTACCGTTCACTCTTACAAAGTGTGTCTTACTGTTTCTCCTTATAGTGGGATGCTCTGGTTTGTCTTTGTACTTTGACACTTCTATCCTGAACTATACACTTTTCATTAAGGTCATTCTACTAAAACACATTCTAAAATATCAATGTATAAAATAAGTAGAATTTTACTCTTTGGGGTTCCTCAGGTGGAATAAGTATAAATTTAATTTTCTACAGGCTTAAGGGTTTCAGGCAAACTTGGCAGTGTTCCTGTTTTTGTACATGGAAAATGGGTAGCGGGGGGCTGGGAAGGTGGCTCAGTGGTAGAGCGCTTGCCTTGCATGCCTGAGGCCCTGGGTTCGATTCCTCAGCACCACATAAACAGAAAAAGCCGGAAGTGGCGCTGTGGCTCCAGTGGTAGAGCAGTAGCCTTGAGCTGAAGAGCTGAGGGACAGCGCCCAGACCCAGAGTTCAGGCCCCATGGCCAGCAAAAAAAGGAAAATGGGTAGTGGCACATAGAATGGGTAGAGTAGCCCTATCCCCCAAATGATGCAGAGAAAAATCTAGGGAAAATCTTCAAGAGTATTAGAAGCAGTATGTCTGTTTTTTCCTGAAACTTGTCTTTACCTTCAGTAGAGTAGTTATTAGTCTGTCTCTACAATCTCATTTCTTGGTGGGACTTGGGCATCTTGTGACATGAGAAAAGGCATAAACTAGACTTGGCTTGGTGAGCAGGAGTCTTTGAGCATGGAATGTGCTTCTGATGTTTATGACCATCAGGGCTCATTGAGCCTGCCTTCCACCTGCCTCCCATTAGAGAGCAGGCATGGTCCCTGTAAGCACCTGCTGTTGGGAATGGCTGAAACCAGAGTAGCCTTGGGCTCGCTGCCTGCAGCCCTTCCCCAGGCAGCCTAGAGGTAGGGTGGCTAGTACTTTTGAACAGATCTGAAAAAAGTGCATCCTGATAGAACCAGGTATTTGGATTTGATTTTCATTTGTACAAATTTAATGATGTATTGCTTCTACCAAGAATGGAATATGCTTTTACAGACTAGCCCTTGGACAACAAAGCATTTAGCTTATCAGACAGTAGATTGTGTATGCACACTAAAGAACCTTTATTTAGCTGCCACATTCCTGAGGAAGTTCTTTTGTGGGTTCATGGTGTTTCTACTTCCTCATTGCTTTTCTTCTCTTTTGTCTTTTTTCAGTCTGCTTGGCTTTTTACTTCTAGCCTTTCTTTTTCTCACTTTGCAAAAGGAAGAGGGCAGCCATCTCAATCCTCAGGTCCGTTATTAAATCTGGCTGGTTTAAAAAAAAAAAAAGAATCGGGCTGGGAAAGTGGCTCAGTGGTGGAGTGCTTGCCTTGCATGTATGAGGTCCTGGCTTCGATTCCTCAGTACCACATAAGCAGAAAAAGCTGGAAGTGGTGCTGTAGTTCCAAGTGGTAGAGTGCTTGCCTTGAATTGAAGAGCTGAGGGACAGTGCCCAGGCCCAGAGTTCAGGCCCCCATGACTGACCAAAAAAAAAGCAGCCAATCTTTGTAGGAGTGTAGAAGGACGGCTTGTCATTCCAGCATGCTGCTCCCCTCTCTCTACTGAAGAGGTGCTGGTAGCTCCATCACCAGCCTACTAGTGTGGGGTGAGCATGTCCCTCCACCTTCATCTCCCATAGTCTTTGCGTGCAGTGAAGCCCTACCATGTAAAACTGCAGCTAAACCAGATGCATTGCTTTATGAGATTAAGTTCCAATTGTTTGAGGGCTTCTTGGAGCCACGATTTTATCTAGTCTAGGATCACACTGCTAGTTTCTCAAAGACTGCCGTTTCTACTTGGATTTGTTCCTCCCACCACTCCTAACTCTGCTCTTTATGCCCCCTGAAAGTCTACAGAGTTCATGTGTGATATGGTCACTTAAATTTGTTGTAAGATTAGACAATCCTTTTTTCTCCACAACTTTAGCTTTTATGTATCACTTGCTCTGTTTTTGCAAGCCAGTCTTATTTCCTTCAGGTGGTGTGGAGGTGGGCATGGACTAATTTTAAGGCATGATGTGAAAATTGTATTATTGTTTAATATTTTTTCCTTTTTTTTATTAGGCAAGAAAAAGTCATATTTCCCACGTTGTTCATGGGTAACTGAATGTTTGCTGTGCTTTCTTCCTCTCTTTCTTAATCATGGTGTGGAAGAGACATTAACAAACTGGTTTAACTAACTGCTTGGGCTGACTCAGCTTTAACTGACTTACAGACCATGAGTGAGTCTCTGAGATCCTGTCTCACTTGACTGTCTACCATTACTGTTAGTTCAGCTGTGCAGAACCACACCATACCAGTGGTTTGGTATGGTGACATTTGCCCCATGTCTTAGCTACCTGGGAGGCTGAGTAAAGCCAGAAGATTAGCTTGAGCCCAGGAGTTCAGGACCAGCTTTGAACCCAGTGAAACCCTGCCTCTACCAAACCAAACCAGACAGTGAACTCGCTGGTCCTGGGTGGCTGCTCGACTCCCTGGTTGCACTTCCCATGTAGCGTAGGGTGGGCTGACTGCCAGGCCCTAGGATCCCATTTCACTATCTTCATGGAGAATGGGCTCCTCCTGTCCTCCAATTGTTTGTTTTCTCAAACCAGGCACTAATGATAATGGACTCCCCTGCCACTGTGTCTGTTCTTGTATTCCTAGATTAAACTAGGATTAGACTGTAATGGGAGATGGGTCATGTGTAAGATCAGTTCTATGATTCAGAACTGCTTTTCAGTTAGCAAGCTCCTGCTTGGAGTTCTATTTATCCTTGTGGGCTCTGGTGTGTCCTCTCCTCTTCTGTGTTTGTGAGCTGCCTTTGTTTTCTACTGCCCTCTCATGTGTACTGACTTTGCTTCCTTGGCAGACTAGTTTCCTTCCTTTATCTCTGTTGTGTTAGATATATTGTTTTCCTGATTTCTGAATGCACATGGACTCTTCTTCCATTCACTACTTCTGTTGCCATTTTACATTGGCTGTAGCACCTTTTTCTTAGCTGGAACCTGTACTTTTCCTTAACTAGATGAATTGTACAGGTTTGAACACTTTTGCATATAACTAATTTCCAGGGCTGTCTCTCCATTCCTGCCTCCATTCAGTCCTCTGGGGTCCATGGGATATGATTCTTGGGCTCTTTGGCTCTTCTGGGCACATATGGAGGTGTTTCTTCTCTCAGGAATCTTTTCCCACTGCAGATTTTTGATTGAAAATTCCACCTGTAGGTTAGCTTTTCTTCTCCCTCTGGCTTTAACTTCCCACTTCTTGATTCAGAAAAGTGCTAGGTAAGACCTGGCAGGTTGTCCTCTTTCTACTAGCTTCCCTCCCAAGTCAAGGGTTGCATCTATATCCACAGAGACTAAGCTTACCCTTGTGTGTTCCTGGCCATGCTGCTTATGGTCCTCTGCTATCGCTGATCACTGGGAGTATAAAAGTGGCTGCCCGCTGAGGGCTGCCAAGTGCCCTGGGCATCTGGAGGCAGGCTGTGGGCTTGACTTCCCTACCCAACAACTCACTGGGTGAGCTTGGGTTACTGCCTGGGCCCCCCCTTGTTTTTTATTTTTTTAGCTCTGTAACAATGGAGATGAACTTGATGTTCCTTAAAAGTTTATCTAACTTGAAAATACTATACCTGCAAGTGGAGCTACCCTGTGCTTGCTGCTTTTGCACACTTTGTTGGACTAGGTGGCAAAATAGTGGCATCTGATAGTACTCCCTGTCTGCTGAGATTTGGGGGTTGTTTGCAGCACAGCTTCCCCTGTCATAACACTGTGAGGCCAGACAGTTGAGATTCATGTTGCATGTGTAGTTCTTCTGGGAATTTCTAGAAGCAGGCACTGGAAACTCTGGGACTAGACAGATGAAGGATAAATGGGGCTTTGGAGCTTATTAGGTGATAACTACAGTGGCAGGTAGGATGTGGCCCAGGCGTATAGCTCTGAGAAATAAGGAAGGATGATTTAAAGTTTTCAAACATTAAGGGCTCAAAATCCTATCCCAGGAAAAGGGGAAATCTAGGTTGAACAAGCTGCAAAGGACAGATGACATATTACAGCTTCCTTGCCTGTGCTCTTGGCCCTGATTTTATGCATGAAATCTGGACTGTGCTTACTTTCTTGGAATGTGAACTCTGTCTCTTCAAAGTATTATATGCCACGTATCTCTGCATGCTCATTTCTGTATATGATTACAGACTTCTTCAACCTACAGAGCTGTGTTTTGCAGGGAATGCCCAGCTTCTCTTTTTGTTTTCTTGAGAGTCTCTCTCTCCATGAGTTAATATTCAGCTACCTGGGCCCCTCCATGACCAATGGGGTGACAGTGACAGGCAAGTTGGCTGTGTCTCCCAAACTGCTAGTGCAACAGATTCTTTTAGGAAGGCTACAGGCAGGAAGGCGCTCCACCTCTCTTTCCTTCCCTCCCTCCTCGCTTCCTGTAACTGTGCTGCCAAGCGCAGTGGCTGGGGCTTGCCATCTTGCTGGGTGTGCATGGATGCTAAGTATGGGGCTGAGCTGAAAAAAGGCAAAACAACTCCTACCCATCTGTCTTGGCTTGCTAAGCAATTCTTTAAAAAGTTATTTTTCTCCCTTATTAACATATTTATATTATAAGAGGTCTGGAAAATAATAAATTATAAGTAGTGAACAATTTACCCACAATCCAGAGGGAAGAAAAGTAACTACTGTTAAGTTTTCCTCCTATGATACACACATACACGTTACTAACAATATGTGTTTAAACATATATGTGTGTGTATATATATATATATATATATATATATAGAAATAGAATCTGTGCATTCTATATTCATATATATGTGTGTGTATCTATGTGTATATATATTTATATATATACATTCTAGACATAGGTACATAGACAGTGACACCTATGTAGCACTTTAGTATGGAATCTAGGATATATACTTCATACTTTTTCTTCATATCACTTGGATATACACAGTTGGGTAGCTGCTGCTTTTTTGATGTAGTATTTCAGAACATTCTGAGTATTTTCCTATGCTATTAAAAGCTACATGGAATGTTTGTTTTTTTGGTGCCATCCTGGTGCTTGAACTCAGGACTTGGGGCTGTCCCTGAGGTTCTTTTGCTCAAGGCCAGTGCTCTACTACTTGAGCCACAGCTTGCTCTCTCTTTTTTTAAAGTACTTTATTTGCTCCAGTTGGCTTTGAATTGCTATCCTCAGATTTCAGCCTCCTGAGTAGCTAGTAGGTGTGAGCCACTGGCACCTGTATTTTTTATGGTTATATTTATATTTTGCCATTTTGTTATACAATTACTTATTTAACTAGGTCCCTATGCCAGCTTTTAGACTTGGTCTATGGGAGAAAAATATTAGTGCTGCAGCTCCAGTAGCCAGTGTGATGAAGTTGCTTAGTTGGTCGTGGTACCTCAGGACTGCGAACCTCCCATTTTCTAACCTGTGCTTTCTGCGCAGCTGCTCATTCCTCATGCGATCAGGTTTCTACTGTGGATCAGGAAGAGGATGAATTATAGAAAGCAGATGAATTTGATTGTGGTTTGTAGAGTGATCTAAAATGTTTTCTCTTTCTTTTTCCCTTCCTCCCTCTCTGGTCCACCCCCACAGGGCAGTAAACGGCTTTGATCCAGCTTCTCCTCCTCCTGGTCTGGGCTCTTCACGCCCCTCATCAGCACCGGGTATGCTGCCTCTCAGTGTGTGAGTGCCCAGCCTCCAGGTGGGGGCCCCCCCGCCCTTCTCTAACAGCCCAGGACACCCATGCCTCGCCCTTTGGTGCCTGGGCCCAGCCCTGTGCCCCTCCGTCTGCCTCCCCACAGTTGGCAGAGGGCAGGCTGCATGCAGCGGCGGCTGCTGGGCCCTGCTCAGCCCTAGGACTCTGCGCGATATCAATACTGGCTATTTTCTCTTCTTGCCGTAGTGCCGTTGGTTTCACATGATTGCACTTTTGTGGGTCACAAGGTGATACATGTGTGTATTACTTGGTCATTGGATGCAGAAGTACCCGTTCATCACACCTGCCTCATAGCCCCCACTCTGCTGTGCTGATAGGATTTAGTTGTGTTTAGGACATTACAGATCTTCTAGAACTTCTCCCCCAATCAGGTTGACGTGTGCCCTTCTAAGCTCCTACCCAAACATCTTCAGTGCTCATAATCATGTGCCCCCCCCCCCCCCCCCCAGCTCCACCCCTGCCGTTTGAGCCTGTTTTTGGCGAAGAGTCAGGAAGGTCACTGAATTCGGGAACATTGTCTGCACCTTCTCATTTTACGTAAGCAGTTTCCATTCCATGGGATTGCCTCCCAAAGCAGCGAGATGCAGCACTGCTGCAGGTGGCAGCAGCCTCCAGGGCTGGGCACACCCAGGCTACACCTCTGTGCTGTCTCCTCCTCCTCCTCGTGCCTCAGACTCAGGGGAGGTGGTGGCAACATCCCCACCAGCTTTCCAGTCCTTCAGTTCAGCGACATCATCAGAGCATTTTTGTTTTCTCTTCTGAAGGTCTGTCCATTGCACTGGGGAAAGGTTGAGGGGCCTGATTCTGGGGGCTAGCCCATGCCAGCTTCTGGGGGCAGACTGACCAAAAGTGGTTGTCCCTTGCATCCTTTGATTGCTCTCATGCTGCACTTACTGTTTACATTTGTTTTATTGTACATAGGTTTGTAAACATTATTGCCTAAGATATTTGTATATAACTTGGGCTTTGTAGCTTTTATTTATTCAGAACTCATATGGCATGTTAATGACTTATGATGGTGTCCTACTTTGGGCAGCTGTATAGGTTCATCATGTGGCTAAAAAAATACTTCCCCTCCGAAAGAAAATCTTTTAATGTGTAAACAATAAATTTCACAGAAAATAATGATTGAGGTTGCTTTATTGGGTCTCTGCCATCCTGAGAAGAGCTTGAGCATACAAAGCCAGGTTCAAGTGTCGTCTTCATGCGGTGTGCGGATGGACGGCAGCTGTGGAGTGGGGCGAGACTCAGGTGATCTTGGCAGATGGCTTATGCACTGAGCAGGCGTGCGTGTGCCAATCTGTGAGCCATATGTTTTCAGCTTTGTATGATTTCCAGGGGCAGCTTTGTTGAGCCCAGGCCTATACAAAAGCCTGGGGGAAGGACTAGAACTTGGAGAGAGCTTCCAGGGACAGATGGGGAGCTGGTCCTCCAGTTGTGCTGCATACAACAGTGGGTGACCACTGTTGTGCTGGGATTTGAGTTCACATGGAGTTGATCTCTCATGTTGCTCTCCTACAAATGAGAGACAATGCCCGGTGCCAAGACACCTGAAGTGGGTATGAGTGCATCAGATTATTAACGCACCTACAGCAGCATAAACTGAGAGTAGGTTTATAGTTTTGAAAAATGTAAACGAATGAAAAGCCAAGATTCCTAAGCAAATAAGGAACTAAGTCGGGATACACTCACGTTTCTTCTGTCTGCTAGTGGATGGACAGGAATGTCTGCTGTTACTGGTCCTGGACATTTTGTCCTGGGCCAACTCTCCTGGAGCCTTCTGCCACACTGTGCACTGGGCCAGCTGCTTTAAGTCTTTAAAGGAGGATTAGATCAGAGGTAAATTCAAATCTAAAACATTGTAAGTAGAGCTCCTTTGGTAAAAGCAAGAACGAAGTTGAGAGCTCTGAGTCCTTTTCCTTGGCTCTGAGTGACTTCTTAGATTCTTGTTAGCTGCAGCATTGCTGGGCTCATCCTGACAATTCTGCCAGTTGCTAGGATCAGTGGGTTGCTGGCTGGAGGAGACCCTAGCTACAGCAGTCACGAGTCATTCACAGGATGTATCCCCTGCTCTGTGTCCAGAAGAACACGGGGTCCCAGAAAGCAGTGGTATGCTGTCATCTTCCACTCCCCCCATGAGCAGGTCTTCACTGTTTTATTTTCAACTGTCAGTTTTTTATAACTTCTTTTTTTTATTATAAAGGTCATGTGTATAGAGAGGTTAAAGTTTCGTAAGTCAGGTAATGAGTGCATTTCTTTTTGACTGTCACCTCCTCCGTTGCTCTCTCCCAGTTTTTCCCTCCTGTCTCCACCCACAGTTCTATAGTTCATTTTCAGCATAGTGTCTGAGTACCTCTGTTACATTTATTCACCCTTTGTCCATTTCTTTGCCTCCCCTTACCCGTATTCTCTCCCCCCAGACAGATAAACAAGACAAAAAGGAAAAAGAACCTCGCTTCCATTTCCTGCAGTTCATTTCAATAAATATTTTGACAGATGCACACAGGCATTGCACCTTTGTGTTCTACTTGTAAAAGTATTCTCTTTGGTCTAGCTGTGTGTGAAAGCCTGAGTCCTGTATAATTGATCATATCTGGGTGTATTTTTTTATTTTTTTAATAAGTGTTTTATTGTGAAAATACCATACAGAGAGGTTACAATCACATGAGCAAGGTAATGAGTACATTTCTTATCAAGCATTGTGGCCTCCTCCTTTGTTCTGGGTGTATTTTAGATTGAGCTTTTGTATATGAGGAAAAACATGCTGTTTGTCTTTCTGAGCTTGGCTTACCTCATTTAACATGATTTCTTCTCAGACCAACCATTTCCCTGAAAATGACTTTCAAATTTTTAAATATATAATTTTATTGCTATGAAGTGTTATACAGGGGCTGGGAAAGTGGCTCAGTGGTAGAGTGCTTGCCTTGCATGCATGAGGTCCTGGCTTTGATTCCTTAACACCACTTATGCAGAAAAGGCTGGAAGTGGCACTGTGGCTCAAGTGATAGAGTGCTAGCCTTGAGCTGAAGAGCGGAAGGACAGTGCCCAGGCCCAGAGTTCAGGCCCCATGACTGACAAAAAAAATTAACACAAAATGTACTCACTGTGTTAGTTTCCAAACTCTACTTTTGTCACTGGCAAAACCTCTTCAACATCTGGCAAGACTAAATATTGTAAATTAGGATTCATCTGTCTCAAAATTAACATGTATAGATGCCAGAGACAAAAACTCATACACCATAAACCCACTTCTCCTCCTCCTGCCTGAGCAAGTATAAGTACCCGTGTACTACTCAGAAGTGGTATCATCCCATTTCCAAAAGGCAAAATTTCATAATGAATTTTTTATTTTTTTGGGGTCTGGTCGTGGGGCCTGAACTCTGGGCCTGGGTGCTGTCCCTGAGCTCTTCAGCTCAAGGCTAGCACTCTACCACTTGAGCCACAGCGCCACTTCCGGCTTTTTTCTTTTTGCTTATGTGGTGCTGAGGAATCGAACCCAGGGCTTCATGCATGCAAGGCAAGCGCTCTACCACTGAGCCACCTTCCCAGCCCCTTCATTATGAATTTTAACAAAACATCAACAAAATTATTTTACTACCTCTACTTTTAACATACCTTGTGTACTTTAAACATCTAGAGAGAACAGATGTTTCAAAGGACTTAATTGTTAACTGTACACATAATAATGTTGGATAAACCACATGTATGTAACAATGGTTCTATCTGAAAGTGTATTCTAAGCAGGAACATTTAAGGCCAGAGCCTTTCATTCCTTTTTACCCCCTTTCCAGTGTCACATTGATATAGGTATATAGGATATATAGGATGTTATACTTTTGCTTCTAAAGTCCTTTTCAGAACACAGCCTTTCATAATGTGTTAGTTTACTAACTCCACTTTGGTCATACATGGCAACCTCTTTAATACCTAAAGACTAGATACTATAAAATTAGGACTCATTTGTCTAAACCCTATACGCAGTACAGCAAAGTTAATGAAATGTACACAACATATGGGATCAGGGATAAGCTGAAAATTTATCACACTAATAAAATACTTTTGCAGCAGTTTCTTTTCTGTCACCTTCCTCAACATGGACATGGATAAAAAGTACACTGCCCACAGAGCTGGTTTAACAACTCCATTTCTGAATACAGTGTTCCCCAAGTTTTACAAAGCTATTTACAGAGTTATTCTACTTCTATTTTTAAGTACACCAAGCACTTTTAAATACCTAGGACTGGCTATTTCATATGCGAACTTGCTTGCTGTGCTCCCAGCACTGGTAAATAAAATTGCACTGCGCAGCAGTGGTTATGATCTGAGGTGGCTTGTAAATATGGCCATTTTGGCCCTGGGTTATTCCCTCCTTAATTTCTTCTTTCTGCCTTCAAACTAGTGGAAAAGTCCAGGGACATGTAATGCTCAGAGATAGTTGAGCAAATTCGTTTGAGCAAATGTCATTTACAGAGGAAAAGCTTCCTATGACATTTCAACATAAAGGACACAATGTGGTAATTTTACGACTTTGTCACACACTGGCAACCTTACTTTAATATCTAGAGACTAGCTCTTGTGAAATTTGGACTTTGTCCATTCTATATATACTATATATACACAGCAAACCAAAACGCACAGTACAGAAAAAAATGGCATCTGAGGATGTTAATAAGATAGGAACACACTAGCATATTACCTATTACTACTATTACCTGTTGTTCCCCACTGAAAAAGTACAGGCAGTACTTGCCATTCTATTCACAGAGGTGGTCTCCCCATTCCATTCCTAAAGTTTCATGTGAATATTAGCAATAAGGTATCTAACTTTACAACCTCTACATTTAACATATGTTGATACTTTTTTTTTGTCTGGTGTGGGGCTTGGACTCAGGGCCTGGGTGCTGTCCCTTAGGTCTTTTGTTCAAGAGCTCCACTTCTAGTTTTTGAGTGGTTAATTGGAGATCTGATGGGGACGACTCCTGCCCGGGCTGGCTTTGAACCGTGATCCTCAGATCTCAGCCTCCTGAGCAGCTAGGATTACAGGCGTGAGCCACGGGCGGCGCTGTGGCTCCAAGTAGTAAAGCAACCAGCCCTGAGCAAGAGAGCTCGGGAACAGCGCGCCGGCCCCGAGTTCAAGTCCCACGCCAGGCATCCCCCCCCCCCCCCCCTACAAGCAGCCGCCAGACCCCGCGGTATTACTCCACGGTTCCTCCGGGACACGGGCCCAACGGCCCCCGGGCCGCCGACCGTTGCACCCGCTCACCTTCCAGGGCCGTTAGGGCCTTCCTCTGTCCCCGTGGCGGGTGGAGGCAGGGAGGGCACCCGAGGCCCGGGATCGGCGGGCTCCGGGCCTGGAGTGCTAGTGCCCGCCTTCCCCGCCCTCCAGCCCCCGAAGGCCGGGCCCTGGTAGAGCCAGGTAGAGCTCATCTCTCTCAACGTTGGAGGCCGAGCTCAGGATGCGGCGGGAACATTGCTGTTCAGTGTCCTCCGAAGTTTCGTCGAGGATTGTTCTTTCTCTTGCTGGGCCAGCCACTGGCGGTCATGGCAGACCCAGGGCTGATGTCCCCCAGCGGGGGCTGTGTCCCCGGTGTCGTGATCTGCAGGTGGTGAAACATGGCCTCTTGCCTCCCTCCCCAAACACCTTCCTGCAGGAGGAGAGCCAGTGTGCTGCTTCCTTTCAAGCCTGAGTGGTCACATAGTTACCCACCAACTCAACTCAGCCCGGAGCCTGGTGCCTACGCTGGAGCTTGAATTGTGCAAAGTCCATGAGCACTGCGTAGAAGTGGCTGAGCTGCCTTTCCTGTTGGCTGACGCAGGACCGTGTGCCTAGGGTTGGCCTTGCCTGCCCCTGTACACTAGCTCAGAGCAAAGCCAGAACTGGAAGCAGGCCCAGCATCCTTTTCTACTGTGCCTCTCCCACCTGCCCCTCAGGAGATGAGCAGAGTTTGAAAGATTAGAAGTGATGAGCTGTGGCAAGCTGTGGCCTCAGCATAGCTTTGTTTAGGAGGAATTCTGCTCCCCAGTCCCCTTTCCTCTCCCCTTTCCTCTCAACATGGAGAGGTTACACCTCTAGAGGTGTAATTAGCTGAGCCAGAGTGGAAGCTGGCCCTTCCAGGAGGTAGTTGAGG